ATCAAAGCAGTCCAAGAGTGGTCTAAAACTTAATCAAAGAGGTCTTAAATCAGTCTTTTATTTTAGTGATGTAGTCTTAAATCGGTCTGAAATTGGATAATAAAGGATTTATATTGGTCTTACATTAAATCAAAGTTATCTTAAATCAATCTGCTTTATCGGATCAAAGTGGTCTTCCGTCAGTCTAAAATTTGAGTGAGATGATCTTAGCTAACTTTTGGCAGCAGCGCTAACTATTGGTGTCCCTCTGTCAAGTGTAGTGAGCTAGCCTAGCACAGCCCATTGTTGCTAGTAAGTAGTTTGCACCGTTTTTTTTTTTTTTTTTAAATTAGCGTCTACATAGCAACACTGATTGTTGCTCAAAAGGGAACTTTTACATGGCCACATATCCCAGACTTCCCGAGATGCCAGGTTTTCAAGAGCTGAAAAGCAGAGTCTGGTGACCTGTCACACTTCATCAACATTCAGTCGCTTGCCTCATTCCTTCACGGTTGTCTGTAAGAAACAAATGAGCGTGGGTCGCTGTGCCGACAGAATGCTGACTCGGCAAATAAATACAGACAGGAAAAGGTCTGTGAAATGAGGAAGACGCAATTACAAACGTAGACGACGGCCTGAATTTCCATTCTCAATGATTTGCTGCCAAAAACAAATTTAAATTAGCGTCTACATAGCAACACTGATTGTTGCTCAAAAGGGAACTTTTACATGGCCACATATCCCAGACTTCCCGAGATGCCAGGTTTTCAAGAGCTGAAAAGCAGAGTCTGGTGACCTGTCACACTTCATCAACATTCAGTCGCTTGCCTCATTCCTTCACGGTTGTCTGTAAGAAACAAATGAGCGTGGGTCGCTGTGCCGACAGAATGCTGACTCGGCAAATAAATACAGACAGGAAAAGGTCTGTGAAATGAGGAAGACGCAATTACAAACGTAGACGACGGCCTGAATTTCCATTCTCAATGATTTGCTGCCAAAAACAAAAGTCCATGACATGAACAACCCCTCTCAACATGTTTTTTTTTTTTTTAACACACGCACATTTGCAGCAACAATCCATCATGATGAGGCATCAAACTGATGGAAAGTGCCTCTTCGTAATGTCAACCTCTCTGAGCCTGCAAAAGGCAAACGGCGAAGTGATCAGACAAAATGTGTGCCCCTGTTGTACTGAAGCTGTAGTGCATATCTGTGCTTCGCACAAACTTGCCTAATGTAATAAATTGCCACGGAAAGTAGGCGATGATGCAACTTTCTCAGTCTCCATGACAGGAATGGTTCTTGGTTTCTGCCAAACAATTTCATGTGAATATGCCGAATTACATCACGTTCCTCTTAAGCGAAATCTGCTACATGTACCAATGCTAATGAACAAGAGTTAGCAATGCTAACTATAGTGCTAACTAACTTAAAGCATGCTGTAATCTCATACGTAATTGCTTACTAACTTTAGGCAACGGTGCTAACTGTAGGATGCAATGCTCAATAACTATAAGCAACAGTGTTAATTATGCAAATTATTCATAGTCACAAATGCTTAGAAACTGTCGATGGCACTGCTGATTTGCCTCAGTGCTATAGCTAGCTATATGTATCAGTCACAACTAACTATAGTTAGCAGTAATATGAATGGCAGTGCGAGAAAGTACCCCGTGGATTATGGAAACAGCAGAAAAAGGCACCCAGCACACATGCTGCTTCAAAATAAGTATCATGTAAATTTTTACATGACATAAAGATGAATTTGCTCTTTCTATTGCATCTTCCCCCCCTACATCATCCCCCCCAAAATCTGATCAGCAATTCAAATGAGCCGAGGGCCTTAATGGTTCCTTTTAGCGATGCATGAGCGGGATCAACTGAGGGGAGTCGAGCACTGGATTAATACACGCACGCACGCACGCATGTGCACGCCCGCACGCAACGGAGTCACTTCATAAAGAGCGGTGCATTATCCAATAAATCCAAACTGCGCCAGCAGACGATTGTGTGCATGTGGAGATTCAGAGCAGTCATGCATCTCCAAGTTAGAAGCGTGGAGAATCCAAACAATCATAATAATAATAATAATAATAATAATAATAACAATAATAATACAGTTGAGCAAAACATTTAGCATTTATCAACATTTATTTTAAAACATATATATATTTTTAAAAAATATTGTTATTGTTATTTATGGTGTCAGGCAGAAACAAAATATAACAAAAATATCATTCATTTACATTTAGAAAGACGTTTTTAAAAATGGCCTTATATCAATGTATCAATGAAAATAATGCATTTGGAATTGAAAGTAATACAGTTGTAAGTTTATGTACTGGTATTTATTTTTGCATTGCAGATGTTTTTATTTTTATTTTTTTATTTTTTAACGTTCTTAATTCTTCTACGTTAATAAGGATGCAGGATACAAAACATTCAAACAGCACTGGAGGAAAGTGTTGTGTGATGGTGAGCCTGAACTGAGTCCTCCACATCTGGAAGTCGGAAGCATGGAGAATCCATTTCAGGCTCGGTGGAATGGCACACAAACAAACATTCCCGTTCTGTGAACTCTATCTTCTGCTTGTTGAAAAGATAATTAGCTGTAAGCGTTTCAACGTGGCCACTTTGTAGCACTTTGTGTGCACCTGTGGCGCCTGCCGCTAATGAAATGATGCTCTTTTTTTCAAATATTTTTCTGTGTGTGTGTGTGTGTTTACCTAGAGATGCTCGGGCATTTAGAGGATGCACTTAAGGTTCATCTGAGCATCTTGTAAACACTAACATTGAGAGATTTCGGAAAAGAGCCCAGCAGACTTTCCACCATTCACAAATAAACAATTCGTATGATTATTTAAATTAATTATAGAGATGCTCTTGCAAAACTGTTACTGAAAACAGATGCACAGTATTAAAGCTGCATATAAAGCAGTAAATATCTTTTTTATGAAGCAATATACGTACCGTTATCCATTCTAAGCGTAAATGTACACATCTCCAAATTATTTTTATGAAAAATATAGTCGTTGTTAGTTTCGCAACACATTATTTTATAGTTCCGCCTGCATTTAGATTTTCCTTTTATTTTCTAACGCATATTATAACTGGCCTTTTTGTCTTTTAGTTTTTCTATGATGCCAAAAAGGCTTATATATATATATATATATATATATATATATATATATATGAATTATTTGCAGGGCATATATGAATAAATCCTACATATTAACCCATCAATAAATTAAAAATACATGTAGAATTTATCTGTATTATTGTAAGAAAAAATCAAAAGACACATATTGGATTGTAAATTTATTTTCTACTATATTAAAATTAGTATTAAAATTGTTAATATCTTTGAACAAAATGAATTCTATTTTTTTTAAAAATGAGTCGGAAACTGAATTTTTAATACAGTGTCTGTATTGGATCGCATCAGGCGCACCTAATTGATTCGTCCTGTGAATTCTGTATGTATGCCACACAAATGATCGTAATTTAAACATGTATGGATCTTCAAAAAGTGTCTTCAAAAATGGAGAGAAATCGGAGCCATTTCATGCACTTTGAAACCAGACAAGTCTCGCTCCTCCAAATTTCCCCCCACCAAAATAACACGAAAGATACACAACTGACTTTTGTTTGTTCCCCTTCCAACTGTAACCATGAAAGCAAAAGAGGAAGACGAGGGCGGGTCAAAGACGCGAGGAAAAATACGAGAGAGAAAAAAAAAAAAATTGCAACTCGGCACTGTGTCGTGCGGTCGCTTTGAGGCCGTAAGAAAGGAGTGCGGGTTGGGGAAACTTCTGGAAGTAATTGAGGGCCTCACTCACACACACACACACACAAACACACACACACACAAACACACACACACACACACACACACACACACACACACACACACACTGAGAGTTAAATAAAGTCCCATGCAGCTGGTCATCCAGGAGCCTCGTCCTTTTTGTCCAGCTGCTGTAATGAGAGCCTGTAAATCTATTTGTGGAACAAGACTCGGGTCACGTTTCAGGCGCCTTCTCTTATGGGCCTCACCTTGGAAAAACACATTTATTTCTTTTTTTTTTTTTTTTTATGACTTAAATTCTTCAAACTATGTGTCACTGGACTTTTTTTTTTTTTTGTCTCCCTCCGAGGAATGCGTGACCATAAAAACGGCAGGGTAAAAAGTCCCCTCGGGTCGGTAAAAGCGTCGAAGCAAATATGATGTTAATAGTTTCGCAGCAGGGCAGGAGACGTTGAAATTATAGCGCGTAGGGTACAGTTTTATTTAGGACGTTTACCTAATTTGGGGATTTGCAGGGTCAAACTGATTTTATGTCAGTGTTTTGACATATCTTTGATTTTTTTTTTTTTGTTGTTTTTGTTTTTGGTCATGACAAATAAATAATTTGAAAATACATACAAACAACTTGGCAATAATACAATATAGACAAAAACACACATGAAGGAGAGTTACGCAACTAAATCAGAAAGCTCCCATAACAAAAATAGTCATAGTTTTGGCAGAGGATAAAGAATATATGCACATGAGTATTGTTATGTTGTCTGTCCATTTGTGTTGCTTTATGGGTTTTGTTCAAATATCAGTTCTGTAAAGGGTTATAACTTGAAGACTACCCATGCTATACATTAGCTCGTCTATGGTGTTTTGCATCGTGTGTTAGCATTCAGCTAGCAGAGACATCTTAGATAAAGTTGTGTTTGTTTTGAATGCACAACCTGTAATTCTCCTTGTTTTTTTTTTGTTTGTTTTGTTTTGTTTTTGGCAAACTGCTTCTTGTGAAGTCTGTTGACTTGAGTTCAGCGCCATCATCAAGCAACTTCAAAAGCGGGTTACTCTAAAATGTGTGCTGGTCACTTTAAGACATGTGCCTTTTTGTTCTTCATTTCCGCCTTTCACGCCAAACTGATTTTTTTAAAACAAACTTGTGTTAGCCCACCCTAGCGCTCAGTTGCTCAATTTTAATCAACTGATCAATTTTTTTTTTTTTTTGCAGCTTTTGTCAACCACACAGAACAACATGAAGGCCCAGATCTGCCTTGCGGAGCCTTGAGTTTGACACGTGTGCCGAATCAAGATAAAACGCCTCCAAAGGGTGAGCTTCCAACTTCTATTTTAGTGATTTGAAGGAAAGTTTTTTTTTGTCATGTCGTCGTCAAACCTCGGTACTTCGGCCTGCCAGCGTCCAGCGCGGAGGCCTCGGCTTCCATTTGGACGCCCCGACGGCCAACAGTTGGAAGCAATTACCGACAAGCCTTGAAGCATCTTCACTTGTGCGTGTGTGTGTGTGTGTGTGTGTGTGTGTGTGTGTGAGTGAGTGAGTGAGGCTGAGCATCAGGCCAGACCGATGTCAGCATGTGGAGCTAATTAGAGTGGCAATAAGAGCCTTCGAGAAGCGAAAGATCACAAAGCGCAGCGGAGGCAAAAAAGCTCAGGATGAGAAAGGAATTGTGGGTCGAGAAGCGAGGCCGCGAGCTGACTTCAGCCGTTTTGAAGCGACGGCACGCGCGTGACAGTCGTTGGAAGTGGGGATGAACGAATGTCGAAGCTAGAATGACAGTAGCACGAGAGAGAAGTGGAACCAAAATGAAAGCGTCTGCTTTGAACATGAGACCAGATGGAAGTTGGGTCGGGGTCATTGCGTAGTTTGTTTTCTGGCTCTTCCTCGCTTACTTTTTGTATTGAGATACTTTCTGGAATACTTCCCGCTGTCAGTCTTATTTATATTTTTTCGTACATAGTTTCCTCGAAACTTTCTTTCTAGACGACAGTCTTTCTCATTTGCTTAATTTCTTCACTTTTTTTTTTGTTTTTATTTTTACTTGCTTTTTGTTTGCTTACTTTGTGCCTTGTTTGCTTGACTTTCTTACTTTGCTGAGTTGGTGTCTAACTTTTGTACTTAGCTTATTACTGAATGCTCCTCCCTTAATTAGTTTCCCACTTTTTCATACTTAAGTTCTTACTCTCTTAACTTATGTTAACAGATACTTTTAAAAAAATTAAAATCCATGTTTTTTTTTCTCAATTCCTAAATTTCTTCTACCTTTCTTACTGCCTTATTGTCTTCAAAACTATTTTGTGTACCTTCATTCGTTCTTCCTGACTGAACTCTTTTCTGACATTCTTACTTTGTGTTTTGGGTACTTTGTTATCTTTTAATTTCATTCTTCCTGATCGAATTACTTTCAGATTTTTTTTAGTTACTTGCTTTCTTTCTTTCTTGTGTGCCTTCTTACTTTCTTACCTCCTTTTTCTTTGATACTTGCTCTATGATTCGACTTCTTTCCCTACGGTCATACTTTTTTTCTCAGAATCTAACTTCAGTTGTTTTTTTTTTTTTGTTTGTTTTTTTTTTGGCGGGTTGTTCGTCATCTTTATTATGCTTACATACAAGTGTATATACACGTCAAATTTTCCTGGAGAAAATACTTCCCGGGCTTTTTGCTTTCACAACTTCTGACATGCCTGCACACTCGTAAACACATACAACAAAAGAGATGAATGCGGACATAAAAGCCAACTTGTTTGCGGTTCATAAATCTCTTTGATCGCGATTTAAACACAAAACAAATACAACAAATATAGAACAAACTGTCAGTGAGACCTTTTCGTTTTTCCTCCTCATAATTTTTAAAGATTGCCTTTTGAATGATGGGCCTCCCAAAGCTTTACAACTCTGCTAAGAAGATGCCCACGGCTGTTGGTACAAACACACACAAAGGAGACTTAAAACAGATGCGCGCGCGCGCACACACACACACACACACACACACACACACACACACACACACACACACGCACTTATTGGGAGGGCCTGGGGCATTTCCTCCCGTTGCCAGGATGCAGCAGTCATAGCCGCAAGCAAAAGTTAAAAATGGGATGAAAAAAAAAGAAAAAGAAACTTCAGGAGTGAACAAAAGGTGTCTTCACATTCTGTCTAATTCCGGACGACTTCACACGACGGACGACTTCCCACGCCCCCCCCCCCCCGCCCAAAATAAATAAATAACTAAAGAGTGAGATTCAGGTGTTTAAGTATGTCACGGTGTCTCATCGAGATGTTACGTGACGTGGTGACAAACACGTTTTGGAGCCAACCAGACTGCGGGTGTGGTGAAGTAAAAGTTTGAAACCGTGGCTCAAATCTAACGTCACCAACATCATCATCGAGAAGAATGAGTTTTGAGTTTGAACGTTGAACTCATTTTCAGTCGCGACTTTCATGACTGAGTTAGAAAAGCGGAAAGCAATTACACCTGCAATCTGTGGGGAGTTTGTTTTCGACACTTGAATAAAAATCTAACACCGAAAACATGCCCCCCCCCCTCCGCCTCCCCTTTATAAAGGAACACTCTAATTTGTTTGTATTCCTATTAAAGAGTGAGATCCATAAGGAAAATGTCTTGGGATGACTGCAATTGATCTGAAAGGCATTCCATCAAACTCAATTCAACTTTAGCACTGGAATCAATTAAATGATCAACAAGGCAGACTCCTCTCGGTGAAGAATTGCTGTTCTTCCAAGTCTCCACTGAGCTCCAGTACGAGAATACCACAAAATTCTCCCTTTGTAGCGAAAAGTGGACTGCGGCTCTGTTAAATATACTGCTCGGTGGAGTTTAACCCGAATAAATGTCATTTCCTACCAAGAGAGCTGTGATTAAAAGAAGGAGAGCAAAGCGAATCTTTTCGACTCGACCGCGACATTAAAAAAAAATAGACTTTTGAGACGGTAGTTGGAAATCCAGCAGCTTCCAGATTGCATTATTACGCACAGTCTGCAAGCAGAGTGATTCTTGGTTTATGGATGGAGTGGAAGATGAAGACATTGTACCTTTTTTTTTTTTTTTTTTTTAAATAATAATAATTCTTATTATTATTATGGGTGGCCCGGTGGGCGAGTGGTTAGCGCATCGACGTCACAGTGCAGAGGGACCGGGTTCGATTCCAGCTCCGGCCTTCCTGTGTGGAGTGGCAAGCGCCTTGGCCACTTGCGAGCGATTGCCACACGAGTGGTTTAGGTCTCGGCTTTGGCCAACCTTCTGCTAGTAGTTAACGTGGAGACAAATTATGATGCCCACTATAAGGCAATAAAAAGATCAAATGAAGCATCTTTTAAAAAGTGTGTATGAAGCGCGGTGAGGTCAGGATCAGCCCACTTTTTTTTTTTTTTTTTTTTACGACAGCCTCTTAAAAGCTCATCTCATCCAGATTTCCCCTTAATTCGAAAAACACCAACATTATTTTGGTTAAATCTAAGCATCCATTAAAGTGAAGTCATCAGGAAGTTGTCTTGAGGATTTAATGTGGCTTTTTAGAGCACTGTAAGCATGTACTCAACGGGTCCGCCCTCCTTATTTTAGTGACAATGAAATTAAGCCAATATGATTCTTAAGGCATGACATGTCGCCATGGTAACCTCGTCATGTCACAGGAGAGGGGAGGATTAATTCCCCCAATATGTTGCCGGCACAGATAAAATAAAAAACGATCAAAATATCTGTACATCCAGCTGCGAGTGGTCATAAACGGACTCTCTCATCCTCTTTTCATGGCCAATCCTCAAAATGATCACCACAAAGCTTCACAACTTGGCGTGGCCCATCTGTCTTGGGTACCTGCTACTGATTGGTGCTCATTTGGGGGAATTCCCTCGTAGGAAAAATTGACTTCATCCTAGATGGCTATTTTAAAGCAAAATGGACAACTCTTGGTTCAATTTCGAAATATAAGACATGCAAAATTGCCCTGCTACAGTAGACAATGATCATTTGACCTTTGCTAAACCTGAATTAGGTGGCGTTGGAAAAAAAAAATAACAGGCAAATTGGAGTCATCAACCGCAGTCTACTTTACCTTTATTCAATTTGGGCTGCTTTTACTTTTCGGCAAGGGCATTGACTTGGAATATTTTTTTGGGAGATAAACATCAATTTTGCTTGATGTGATCAAAACGTTGAGGTACGAGCGCTGTGCGGTGGCAGTGAAGTCAACTCAACTCACTTCATAACAAGCAAATATTTAACAAAGAAAAAAAAACAATCTCCAAGCTGTTTAATGCCACTCCCCAGTTAAAGTTTATTGTCAAACTAAACGTAAAACAAAGATATTTACACATAGTGTATTCAAACCAACCACATCAGTGTGCTTTAAAATCTGCTATCTTAATGGTAACCATATTGGAAAATGCTATTGACGGGCTAACGACTGGTGTCCATGGGGCAGTGTTAAAAACTTGAAGGAATGGGTATTATTTGAACAGCAATTGTGCAGCAACACATGTAGACAGACAATAGAACACGTGATACATAAAAACAACTAATACTGCAGATTACTGAGACACTTACGTTAGTTGTCAGTCTTTTTCATTCAGGTTGCCATGATTTTATTAGACTCCTCGCCAGAATTTTCCCCATTGGCTTAATCAGGATCAACAAACTGTTTAGTTCTTTATATTATATTATTATTATTGTTATATATTAGGTTTTTACTATTTGTTTTTATAAAATACAATACTAAAAAAAAAGTAAATGCATTCCATTTTCTCATTGGAAATGACGTGACTCCATAGTATGTCGGTAGCGTATCCTACCTGGAGAAGAAAAAAAAAGCCTAAGTATGACATCATCATTGCCGACAAGCACGCGCGTGATCCAGATGTGGGTGCGAGCACATGAACAAGGGGGAAAGGTCACATGTGGTGTGAAGCCTGTGAAGGCTTTACGAGGTGTCTCGCGTGCAGGTGTCATTTGCGCCGGTTTGTTCATTTCAGTTCTCTGTAAACCACACGCGTGTGCGCACATACACACCCGAACAAAGAATACCTTGCTAAGCAGTGCTAAATCCTCCAGATTAAGATAGGAAGGCAGCAAGGAGACACTGACATGCAAACAATCCCCCAAGAAAAGCTGCAGCTGCCGCTTCTTTCCACTTAGATTACCTTCAACTCTCCCACCCCTTTACACATACGCACGCACGCACGCACGCACGCACGCACACACACACACACACACACACACACACACACACACACACACACACACACACACGTGTGGCCTTTTTGGCACACGGCATCTCAACACAATAACAA